TTATGGATAGTGTCTGTTTTATTTCCTAATATATATTTCTACATTTTCTAAAAATCATTTTTGTAATTACTTTAAAAAAGTTATATAATATTTTATGAACACTTAAAAATGTTTAGAGTAAAACTGATTTCGGTTTTAGGTCTTAATTTTTTCTTTCATTTAACATTCTGTAAATGGTAATTTATACGATTCTGAAATTTTCATTTGGATATATATTAGAAGCAACGGAAATTTATTTCAGTCTTCATTATGTTCTAAAAAAGTTCGTTTTATTAAATTTTTATTTTTTTAAATTTTAAACGTTTAGTAAGTTATACATAGTTTTTCAAGTTGATGGGCTATTAGAAGTATATCAATTAGTAGAATAAATTCAATTCTGACACTTAGGCTCATCCTGTGATTGTTTATGTCGCTTGTTTTAAAGATATTTTTAAGTTCGAAATATATCCAGTTATATCGGAAGTTGACATCAACTTTGTTATTTTAAATGGAATGGTATATTTTTTATGTCGAATTTGAATAAAACGTGAAATATTAAGGTAAGTTTGATAATCAACTTGTACGTTTACGATGAGCGGTTTTTGAGATAATTTAATTTATAAAAAAAAAATCGCTACCGCAACCCAAATTATAAAAAATCATAACCTCCAGAAACTATGGAATTTCTACTGGTAATAGCTAAATATCAGAGCTAACGCCTTGACAAAATTGAACTTAATAGTTTATACAGGGCGTTCAGAAAAAAAATAAAAATTTAAAAACTTCAAACACATAACTTCGTTTTTTCAAGTGTCACGTACCATATTTTATTTTTACAATCGATTCATTCATTTATCCTCATTAGATTCATATTGATACTTCCTATTGTTTTATTTGAAAAGGTTTGTGTAATGTTGAATTTTTAGAATAAATAGGTAATTTCATTAATTTTGGCGTAATTGGAGTAGGTATGCCTTGGACAATTGACAACTTACGACATCAAAGCAAATTAATGCAAAAAATCTTTGTTGCGATTAATTTCTGTTAGAAAGAAGTTCGAGAAAAATGTTTATAATAAATACATTAATTGAAGTTTTCGTATTTGGTCATTTTGTAACAGAAATTAATCTAAAGGACAATTTTTGGCTTGATTTTGCATTGACTACCGTTAGTTGTCAATGGTCCAAGGCACACCTTTCTATGCGAAAAATATTAAAATTAGCTATTTTAAGTAAAAATGCAAAATTACTCAAAATTTTTCAAATAAAACAATAGGAAGCACCCATTTAGATCGAAAGAGGATAATAAAAGAAATTGATTAAAAAAATAACATTTGGTAGGTGCCATTTGAAAAAAAAGTATTTGTGTTTGAATTTTTCAAATTTTAGAACTTTATTCTCAACGCCCTGTATAATGTTTCAGTTTTGCAAAACGTTGGCTTTGAGTTTCAGCTAGCACCAGTAAAAGTCTCAACACTGCCGAGTCGTATTTTGTGGAAGTTATGATTTTTTATAATTTGGGTTACGGTAGATTTTTTTTATAAATTAAATTATCTCAGAAACCGCTCATCGTAGGTGTTAAAATCGGCTATCAAACTTGCCTTAAAATTTCACGTTTTATTCTAATACGACGTAAAAAATGTATCATTCCATTTAAAATAACAAAGTTGGCGTCAACTTCCGGTACAACTGGAT